TGGAAAGCATGGGAACATTGCAGGTGGGCATGCCGTCGCCTACCATGCTTCCCGCAGACTGGCCGGTCCTCATTGTGGATCTGAAGGATTGTTTCTTTACAATTCCTTTGCATCCCGATGACAGACCGAAGTTTGCCTTCTCAGTGCCAGCGATTAACGAGGCTGAGCCCGCACAGAGATATCAATGGAGGACATTGCCTCAGGGCATGTGCAATTCTCCTGCCATATGCCAGTGGTATGTGGCCCGTGCCTTGTCTGGAGTTCGCAAGCAGTTTCCTGATGCACGTCTGTATCATTATATGGATGACATTTTGGTGGCCGCGTCCACCCAGGATGAGCTGCTGAGGATTCAGCCTTGGTTGCTCGATGCTTTGCATGCTCATGGACTGCAGGTGGCTCCAGAAAAGGTTCAATAACAACCACCTTGGAAGTACTTGGGGGTCAAAATTCTGGAACAGACGATCCGTCACCAGGAGGTGCAATTTGTGCATTCTGTGAAGACACTGAATGATGCTCAGAAATTGGTAGGTGTCATCACTTGGTTACATCCGTACTTGGGACTAACCGACGCACAGCTGTCTCCTCTGTATGATTTGTCACCTCGCACACTGACCCCTGAGGCGGGTAAGGTGTTGGAGGTGGTTCAGCAAGCTGTTTCGGCTTGCAAAGTTTATCGCATTGATCCCTCCGTTGATGTCACTGTGTTCATTACCACTCCAGATTCGCATCCCACGGGCATCATTGGCCAATGGAGTGACAAATGGTCTTATTCCTTGCACATTTTGGAATGGGTTTTCCTGCCCCATCAGCCGCAGAAGATGGCAACTGCATTCTTTGAGCTGATTGCTCGCTTGATAATCAAATGCCGGCAACAGTGTTTGCAATGGATGGGTGCGGATCCTGCAAAGATCATACTCCCAGTGCAACGGGAGGATTTTGACTTGAGCTTTGCAAACAGTGTGTCCCTGCAGAGTGTTCTGGAAAATTTTTCAGGGCAGATCATTTATCATCTGCCCAGTCATAGGCTACTGCATATGGCAAAATTTACTCAAATCTCTTTGCGGCCCAAAAATAGCCAGGAACCCATGCAAGGACCCACCGTCTTCACTGACGGTTCAGGGAAAACAGGAAAGGCCATTGTTACTTGGAGGGATGGATCTGAGTGGCAGGTTCTGGAAGGCCAGGAGGATGGGTCAGCCCAATTGGTTGAACTGAGGGCTGCTGTCATGGCATTTGAGAAATTTTCCCAGGAACCTTTCAACTTGGTCATGGATTCCACCTATGTAGCTGATATCACACAGCAGTTGGGTCATTCGGTTTTGAAGGAGGTCAGTAATCCTGCTTTGTGTTTACTGAAGACCTTGTGGTGTGCCATTCAGGCCCAGGTTCATCCATTTTATGTTCTGCATGTGAGGAGTCACACCAATTTGCCAAGCTTTATAGTGGAAGGTAATGCTAGGGCTGACAAGTTGGCTAACCCAGCGTGGGTAGTGTCTCAGCCTGATACACTCGCGCAGGCCAAGGCATCGCATGGGTTTTTCCACCAAAACACACATACCCTGCAGAAGCAGTTTCAGCTGATGCCAACTGAGGCTCGTGACATTGTTGAGTCATGTGATGACTGCCATGCACTTGCCCCGCCTTTGCCAGCAGGGGTAAACCCCAGAGGCCTTAGGGCCTTGGAGCTTTGGCAGACCGATGTCACCCTGGTTGCCGAGTTTGGCCGGCTCAAGTATGTGCATGTCACTGTGGACACGTTCCCCTCTGCGATATGGGCTTCGGCTCACACTGGGGAGAAGGCCCGCGATGTCCTCACCCACTGGAGGCAGGCTTTTGCTGTTCTGGGCATACCTTCTGCTGTGAAAACCAACAATGGTCTTGCTTACGCATCGCAGAAGGTGCGGCAGTTCCTGCAGTTGTGGGGTGTCTCACACAAGTTTGGTATCCCTCATTCTCCGACTGGTCAAGCTATTGTAGAATGCGCTCATGGTACTCTGAAGCGGGTTCTTCAAAAACAAAAACGGGGAATGCAGGGTGAAACCCTGCAGTCGGTTGGCAAAAGCTTTGTGCACAATCAATCATCTCACTGTGCCACAGAACTCAAATAATCCTGTCATTTTGAATCACCATCTCTCGTTGCAGGCTGCAGACGAGGCACATCAGCCTCGGGCAAAGGTTCGGGTGCGGAATTTAGTCACCAAACAGTGGGAAGGTCCCTATGACCTTATCGCTTCGGGGCGCAGGTATGCTTGTGTATCCACAGATACTGGGGTACGCTGGGTACCTTTGAAATGTGTTCGCCCTGACCTGCGACCGCAGAGACAGAATCCAGCTGACGAGCAAGATGGAAACCGTGACCAACCTGAAAGGCATCAAGCGGGTGAATCATTGAGTGATGACTCGGATGCAGATGATGAGAGCGATCACTCCGATGATTCCTCCGCAAGTGGACACTGAACATTGTTCATGTTTTCTTTTTCACATTGTTCATTTTCTTTTCTCTTTTTCTTTTTTAAACGGAAAAGGTTGAGATGTCACCCTGGTTTTTTAAGATTTTCTAAGCCTTTTGATGTTGACATTCTTGTAGTGAACTTTCTCACACACTTTCTGTAAATTACTCATTGTTTTGCATTCCTTTATGGAGGAGGAGAGAGTTGATGGACTGTTGGTTTGACCAGTGTCATTGGAGAGGTGTCACTGTCACCCTCCAATCCGCTGTCACTTTTGGAAAACTATAAATGTTGGAGTCAGAAAATAAACTTCCCTTTTGTTTCCCTTCACCTTGAGAACAGTGGTGTGCTTGTGTTCTTTCGTGTCCTATAGTGACAGTACACATTACTAGTCTCCCTGAAATAGTATATAAGCATTTGTATCCCACAATAAAATCGGATTCTGATCACCAAGTCAGTCTCCCCGTCTCTCTCCATCACCAACAGGATCCTTTGTTAGGAATAAGGTAACTGACAAAAGGATTGTAAAAGGGGAAGGAATCTTTGGAGGCAGCTTTCATCGAGTGTGGACAGATATTTCATCAAGGAAGGACCTACAAATTCCCAAAGCAAGGTGTCTACCACTGGGGGAGGTATCCAGTATCTGAGGGAATTAACTGTGGTGGAGGTATATGACAACCAGCTATCCAATGAGCCGTGTAAAATCCCATGCACATGGCCCACATGGTGAAAGTTTGCATGAAGTGCACCAACACTGTACACCAACAACCTGGCAGCAATGAGCTAGAGAGACACAAAAGCACCAACTCTGGTTGGATTGGCCAGCCAACTTGAGAATTCAAAGTGAATCTCACTTCCTCCCTAGATCTCGGCTTTGGAGAAATTGTTCCAACAATTTTTCCATCAATTAAAGAAGGATAAGTCTTCCTCACCCATAGTGACCAACATCTTGGCTATTAAGAGTCAACTTTTTTGTATTCAGGGAGAGGTTTATCAGTGACACACACCACATGCCACTTTGTGGTTCTATCTGCCATGACCAGGGGGAGGACATAAGGAAGTGGGATGGTGAACCTACATGGAAACTAGAAGCTCAAGTACAAGAAGTGCAAGAAAAAACAGCAGCGAAAAGGCATCCATCCAGGAAAATTATTGCCCTAGTGTCTGTTGGTGCTTAGTTGCTGGCCAGGGTTAAACCGTAACATCGGGTCATATGAAAACCTTTCACTGGAGCACACAGGGGGGCTTCTCAATCAAGTCAAATGATGTATCAGGGATACAGGCATTAGCTACACAGTACTGAAGTTCATCAACTACCAAAATTAGATAGCAATTTTCTACTGAACACCTCTTGAGTGTGATAGATGCACCCACTGAGTGAAGAGTATTAATTACCATTTAATAATTGTTTAATCATTAATAAAACCCTTTTAGTTAACCCCACAAGGGCAACTTCTTATAATAATTCATCTGTGACAGAGTAACAAAAAATGCATTAACTTGAACACAAAGTAAAAAGCAAGAATAAAAAAAGCCTAATGAAAATACTTAGAATGACTTCAGCTACTAACGAACCTAAATCTTAACAATGTACAATAGATAGCATAGCCATCCTATATCAGTTGTTATTGTTTGAAACGCTTCAAGCTTTCTAAATATTAATTATTACATTAAAATTAAGTCAAGATTCCCTGAAATACATAACATCTTCAAGAGTACATTACAAGAGTATAATATATTAATTTGACCTAAAACAGTGTACTTTGTACCAGTTTGCTATGAACAGACTATTTTACCATGCAGATCTCAGAAACCCAGCCAGACACATAGAACTTTACAATTTGCTGTAATTCCTGTTACCACAGCAGAGTAATGAAATACTTTTTCCTCTTAAGTTGGTGGGTGCAATTAGGCATTTACTGGACTTGATGGACCCTATTATGCATAAGAATAGAAAGAAGCCCTACTTTCAATATGCAATTAGGGAGTTCCCTCCTGTCTTACTACCTTATTGTATGCTTAGAAGAAGGTCTTCTCAAAGATGAATATCCTCAAAGTGTTTTTTTATAGAGATCAGAATGGACTGGATAAATTTTCACCCTCATGAGGATATAAAGCTGTCATATACTTTTTCTCTATAATCTTAGGTTAATAGTCCTATCAAGAACCTTATTCCAAATTACACCAGCATGTTCTATCAACTTGTGAAACCAAGACAGTCTCATCAGAAATTACAACAAACATCTTTCAAATCTGGCTTTTTGTTTTTCATCTGGAAGAAAACTGGTATCTCAGGAAAGCAGTATTAATTCCAAGCAACTAGTATATGTTCTTCCATTAGATACAAGACTGTTGGTTTTGCATCTTTTCCACATAATATATGTAGTGGAAGAAAAAAAAAAAGGCAGGCATAATACCTTTAACTTCTCAGAGCATTAAGTCTAAGATGCAATTGGAAAGTATTTGCATAGTGAACATATACCGAAATCATTAGGTTTTATAAATACTCCAAGAAATTCACATGTGCTTCCACCTATTATTAAAACATACCTTATTTCATCAGTTTCTGGCACTTTGGTGTAAGGTAGAATTGCTCGAACTCTCCTTCTATCTTCCACAGGCTACAGTTTTAGAGAAGAGTTCAAAGATATTAAGTTTCCCTTTCATTCTAGTGTAGCTTCCTCTCCCCAACATTATGCTATTCTGAGGAAAAAGATTGGTAATAATAATTTGTATCCCTTTGCTAGTTTTAAGTTTTTAAAGGGTCAAATTTGTAAGAGCTGGAAATGCTCAATTCCTAAAGTTATCTACAAAAGCCTTCATTTTGGTTCTAGCCTGTAACATTATCATTCATGTTATCTCCAAAAATCAAATTACCAACAATGTAATGCCCATGAAAGAGCACTTTACAACTTACTTCCTCTTAGTGAAAATTTGTGAAAATTTAACATTCAGAAACGTCTTTATTCGTGGGGGACGGGGGCATTACTCATAATGACAATTACTGATATTGTCTTAAGGATAGTCATTTGAAAGAAACAGCTTTCAGGAGCTTTGGTTATTTCAAGGATGTGTACTTCAAAATCTTTGCTAGAAAACAGTAATATTATTATGATATAATTTATACAGTCTGTGTAAAACCCTACATTATAATGGTGCTCTTTATCAGCCAAAACCCACACATTTTCTTATTTCAGTTTACGTAAAATGTTATTACTACATTTGGAGATAATTGCAATACCGGACATCTAACCTTCTCATTACAGATTTTTATTAAAAAACAATTTTTTTATCATTAGTTTCTATCAGTAAAACCTTGTTTATATATTCATTATACTTCACCATATGCTGAGATAGGTCTAGAACTAGGGGAAGCCATCTACAAGGCTTTTTTATAGAAAACTATGAATATCAAATGCAAGATTAATGATATTAATATTTAAGTAAATTACATTTTAAAATTTTACTACTTGCCTCTGGAGGTGCTACTGGAAAGAATAGTTTTTCCCCCTTCAGCAAACAAGACACATGACTGTAATACCCAATAAGGTCTGAGAGTGAAGCAAAGCGACGTCCACCAATGTAATAATCTCCACACATGGCAATAATCCTGTTAATAAAGAAAAGGAAGTTTGAGAGAACTTTTGCTACAAACTGTTGGGATGGTTTGGGTTTGGGATTTTTTTAAAAGGAAATGAGGATAACGCGGAGTTGTTAAAGCAGGCTGTCTATGTTCAAAATACAATATTACAAACTCACTCTCTAAAAATGTTAAGAGCTACCTGGAAAAGCAACTTTGAGAAGGGAGAAAATACTGACAGAGGGATTGAACTATTCCTTTAGCTACACAAAAGAAAAAAATGAACAAGACATTTGATCTACGTAAAAACTATCATTTTTTGGTAAAAAATGTGAAATTATCAGTTTTATGAAGCTTGCAGAATGCTAAAAACAGTTTCCAATAAATTATGTAGTAAATGGGAAAAATGTCATACTTTCCACCAGAACTCTGTGTTGCAGTGTCAAAACAATAATTTTTAGGATCATAGAATCAGGTTGGAAAAAAACCTTTAATACCATGGGGGTTTCTAAGATAATGGGACTTAAATATTAACCCAGCACTGCCAAATCCACCACTAAACCATACCCCTAAAGCACAACATCTACATATCTTTTAAATAACTCCAGGGATGGTGACTCCACCACTTCCTTAGGCAGCCTTTTACAATGCTTCCCTTTCAGTGAAGAAATATTTCCTTATATCCAATCTAAACCTCCCCTAGTACCTCTTGAGGCCTCTTCCCCTCATCCTATTACTTGCTACTTGGGAAAAACAGACCAACACCCACCTGGTTACAACCTCTTTTCAGGTAATTCTGGAGAGCAATTGTCTTCCGTGAGCCTCCTTTGCTCCAGGCTAAACAACCCCAGCTTCCTCAGCTGCTCCCCATAAGACTTGTGTTCCAGACCCATCCCCAGCTTCATTGTCCTTCTTTGGACACACTCCAGCACCTCAATATCTTTCTTGCAGTGAGAGACCCTGAACTGGACACAGTATTCGAGGTGCAACCTCACCAGTTTTTAGTAAAAAGGGACAATCACTTCCCTAGTCCTGCTTGCCACGCTATTCCTGATACAGGCCAGGATGTCATTGGCCTTCTTGGCCACCTGAGCACACACTGGCTCACGTTCAGCTGGCTGTTGACCAGCACCTCCAGGTCCTTTTCCACTGGGCAGCTTTCCAGCCCCTCTTCCCCCAGCCTGTAGTGTTGCATGGGATTGTCATAACCCAAGTGCAGGACCCGGCACTTGGCCTTGTTGAACTTCCTACAACTGGCCTCAGCCCATCAATCCAGCCTGTCCAGATCCCTTTGAAGAGCCTTCCAGCCCATCAACACTCCCACCCAACTTGGTATCACCTGTGAACTTACTGAGGGTGCACTCGATCTGCTCCTCCAAGTCATCAATAAAGATATTAAACAGGCTTGCTCCAGTACTGAGCCCTGGGGAACACCACTGGTGACTGGCCATCAACTGGATTTAACTTCATTCACCACCCCTCTGCTCCCAGCCATCCAGCCAGTTTTTTACCCAGCAAACAGTGCACCCGTCCAAGCCATGAGCAGCCAGTTTCTCCAGGAGAATGCTGTGAAAAACTCTGCCAAAGGCTTTACTGGACTTGAAGTCTAGGTAGACCACATGCACAGCCTTTCCCTCATCCACTAAGTAGGTCACCCCTTGTCATACAAGGAGATCAGTTTATCCAAGCAGGACCTGCCTTTTATAAACCCATCCTGGCTGGACCTGATCACCTCTTTTTTCTGCATGTGCCGTGTGATGGCACTCAAGATTATCTGCTCCATAATCTTCCTGGCACAAAGGTCAGGCTGACAGGCCTGTAATTCTCCAAATCCTCTTTCTGGCCATCCTTGTAGATAGACATCACATGTGCTAACCTCCATTCAATTACAGAAAATTCTGAAGGGCAAGATGAAAATATAAATATTTTCCTTCCCAAGATTTTATATCACTTAGCAACTCACCAAAAAAATATACTACTACAGCCAAAAAGAATGTAGTTTTGATGGACTCATACACTATCTGTCAATCATATGCTGCGTGAACATATGCCCATATACAACTTGGAGGGAGGGGGATTTAGAGAACTTTCAACTATAATATTGGTATTTTAGTCAAACAGAAATATATAAGGAAAGTCTAATCTGAGAAATACCACTTTTAGGAAACAAATAACAGGGAGATTGTCAAGCAATGAAAATTTCACCCATTTTTGGCAGAAACCAAGCTTTGGTGGAAGTGACACTTCCAGTCTATGGGACCCAGGGGGCACATCCCTATATTTGGCTGAATTAACTTAGAGACTGTCAATCTTGAGACTGAACAAATGTTTGAGTGTGGCATCTGCCCTTCTAATAACAAAAAACATATACACTCTGCAGTCAACAACTGAAATCAAAAGCAGGTCTGCTCTATGAATACCAGTATCAGCAGACAAATTAGTTTCCTTCAGATAGTTCACATATTTAATGGATCCAAGAAGAAAAGATTCTTTAAGATTTGAAAATATTATAAGGATTCCTTTCTTAGAAAGTAGCATTTAATGGTTTACCATTTTCTGAGATGCCAGAAACAATTTTATGGTGGACAGAAACCAATATTCAACACCTGATATTGGCTACAATAAGCAGAAGTCATTAAAAATGAGACTCTTGAAAACTTAAACTTAAAAAATGAATATTAACATAACTTCATTTTCTACTACTGCTACACAGTAATCAGTTTCCTAACAAGAATCAGTATAGCTGAGAAGCATGAATTGTTAGCTCAGACATGATGCAAACAAGTGCATGCTGTTTGCTTGGCAAGAAAACTTGCTTTCTGTTTATTTCTTGTTATCTAGATAGCTGACAAAGGTTTTTTCTAGTGCTGAAGATGCACTTGTTATTGTATTTTGTGAATATGAACATTACACTGCAGCACACTACATGCTGACTAACATTCAAGTGCTTCCCAGAACATCTGATTTACACTAAATGAGACTAAATTAATGTCTATAACTTGCTAATGGTAAAATAACCACAGTTACAATTTCAGATAAATGGATACTTGTATTTAGAACAACTAATTCTAACAAAGACTGAAAGCTGATTTTAGCAAATCCTCATATTTTTAAACACATTACCTCTTTGTTTCTCGTTATAGCTATCTTATAAACAGATTTGCTATGACTTTGACATTCAAATATGTTTTTTAAGCTGCAATATCTGAGGAACAGACTTCAAACAATCTGATTACTACTAAGGAGCCTGCATGTTACTGTAAATTTAGTCATAACAGCTTTAGACAAGCTTTTCTATCCTGATAATGCTGGTTTCCTCACATTTTCATTCTTCAGCCTGTAAAGGAATTTTTGTAGCATGGTTTAAAACAATTAAACCCTAGCAAAGAGCTATACCATACATGGATAAAAAGAAAAGTAAAAAATATTCAATTTATAATACAATTGTTTTCTATACTGTACTACATTCTAAATCCACAAATAAATAAGTTATAGTGTTTTAAAAGAAAACATTTAATTCTTACCTAAAATGATTGACACTTGTTTTACTAAGGAATGAAAGCACAAATGAACCCGGTCTCCGATCACTCTCTCGAATAAGGTAACTTCCAGGTTTTTCCGCTTGCCAAAGACGTTCTTCTGCAATTGTTCTGTCGAGTTTTCCATGATACCACCTAAAAAAACATATAACAATGAGTGTCCTTAAAAGTTTAGGCCTCTGTTTATTCTCACAGAATAGAGCTATGAAATTAATGAAAGATCTCAGTTGAAACTGATAAAATTCCAAACCTTTATTTCAAATAAAGTTATCAGATGTTTACATGTGCAACCTCTCTCAAATTACTTATTCCCAACTGTCCTAGATTGCAAGGCAATGTGTATTCTATTTGCCATCTGTTAGAGGTGTGGCAGTTATCTTCTGTTAATTGGGCAGTTTTCTTTCTCTCTTCCACAAACCAATCCTCCCTCAGGGGACACATCTGCTGTTAATGGGCCATTGAATGTCACTGCATGACTGATGAAATTACATCATCCCATTGTGGGATGCTCCACCCAGAGGGAGGAGCCAAGCCTTCCTAACTGGATATAATCTGATATTTTTGGGACACCAGCACAGCCTTTCCACTGGATTCCCAGAGGAACAGCTGCCTCTTCCACTGGATCTTCAGAAGAAGACTACACCCTTCTACAGGATCACTACTCCAACAGAACCACACCTGCCACTCCAGGAGGATTGCAGCCACCATTCCAATTGGACTGCTACCAACACTCTGACCCACAGGGTGTCAGGTTGTATTCTGACTCTGTTGGAGTTGTTTTGTTTTATTGCATTGTTTATTTTTTCTTCCCTAATAAAGAATTGTTATTCCTGCTCCCATATCTTTGCCTGAGAGCCCCCCTTAATTTCAAATTTATACCAATTCAGAGGGAGGGGGTTTACATTTTCTATTTTAGGGGAAGCTCCTGCCTTTCTTAGCACACACCTGTCTTTTCAAACCAAGACACCAACACACAGAATTTGGAAAGCTTCACAGGTTCAGATAACCCGTTTCCCCAAATAACTCACACTGGAGAAAATCACTCTGAACTATCCAAAGGAGACAAAGGCTCTCTATAACCATCTTTTTTTATTCCCCAATTTGTTCATTTTAAGCAAATAAGTAGAACGAGAGGTAACTGATCTGCTGTATTTTAATCTTACTCAGGCTTCTATTCAGGCTACAATAAAACCTGTTTCTCAAACAACAAACAGATCATAGTATTAAAATCTGCACCTAAAAAAATGACAGCATTCACACCAGAGTATATTTCAGCCAAAATGTCTTCCCCAAGCATAACATGCAGCCTATTAAGAGCAAATACAAATGCATGGCAACTCACAGGCTTCTAAATATGACAAAAGAACACTTCAGTTTAAGTCAAAAGCTAAACTCATTAAAACACTCCTTACCCTTTCTTACCCTTTCCTCAATTTTGACCTCTTTCTACCCCAAGCAATCAAATGGGGGGAAGCAGCAGTGAAGGGAACAATCGAAGCAAAGACAAGTGTTGCTCTCAAAACCTTTTAAAAATGAAAACTTTTATACAGGTAATGTTTTATACTATTTAAATTATCAGCTATTTCAGACCATTCACCTAGTGATTCTACCAATTTGCACATCTTGCAGGAGTTGCAAGAAAAGTACTTTAGAAGTGATATGAAAGTAATCTTCCAGCTTAAAATACACAAGAAAAAAAAATGAAAAATTGCAGTTTAGAGTAAAAATACCCAACAAAACAGCTTAGCTAGTAATAAAAATCTTGCAAAAAACATTTTTTCTATAAAATAGAAATTCTCAAAGCCAACTTTCACTTCCATCAGAATGAAAGTCAAATAAATAAATTATACAGATTACATATAACAGCAGAAGTAGTACCAGTGCCAACACTGTTTTCATTGGCAAAGCTGCAGTCTTGTTAGTATAGCGCTCTCCTTTGCATCTCCCCATCCTGATTAAAACAAGTTAAATCAGTGAAAGAATTGTTTTGTCTGTATGCTGCATTGCACTTGAGGCAAGGTTAGAAAGATCGTGTCTGTGGTGGGTTGACCCCAGCCAGCATCTAATCACACATACAGCTGCTTGCTCACTCTCCCAACAGAACAGGGTAGAGAATAGGAAGAACAAAAGCCAGAGAATTCATGTGTTGAAAAAAAGTTTAATAAGTGAAGGAAAAATAAGAAGGGGCTGGTGGAAACAGAAAAAAAACCCCAAAGCAATGCACAGTTAATCACTCACTCACTACCTCCCACAAGCAGACCAACGTCCAGCAAAACTGAGCAATGGCTACCTTGGAAGACACACACACCCTCTTTTTTTTTTATTGTTGAGATTATACCTGGCATGGTATGTGTCTTGAATTGTCAAGCAAACTGTATTCTATTTGCCATCTGTATGGCAGTTGTTTTCTGTTAAGTGGGCAGTTTTCTTTATCTCTTCCACAACCACTCCTCCTTCCAAAAAAAATCTGCTAATAATAAGCTATTACATGTCACTGCATAACTAATAAGAACTATAGAATCCCATTGTGAAATGCTCTGCCTAGAGGGGAGAGCCAAGCATTTTTACTGAAAATATAATCTGAAGATTTTAAAACACTAGCACGGCTTCTCTACTGGATTTTTTTAGAAAAACAGCTGCTTTTTCTTTCACTAGATCTTGAAAAAAAGACTACACCCTTTCTACAAGATTCTTATTCTAACAGAACTACACTTGACACTCCAGCAGGTCTGCAGCCACATTTTTAGATTGCTACCAACACTGACTAAAAGGGTGTCAGGTTGTGTTCTAACTCTGTCAATGTTGTTTTAGTTTACTACATTGTTTATTTTATTTTTTTATTTTCTTCCCTATTAAAAAACTATTATTTCCTGCTCTAATATTTTTTGCCTAAAAGCCCCTTAATTTAAAATTTATAGCAATTCAGAAGAAAGGGGGTTACATTTTTCATTTTAAGAGAGGCTTCTGCTTTCTTTAGCAAGCACTTGTCTTTCCAAACAAAAAAAAAAAATTTGGCGCTCAACGTAGGGCTCGAGGGCATAAAAACAAAAAGAGAATAACACTTCTTGAGTAATCTAATTTTTGTGTGCTGCTATAGAAACCTCATTAAGCGACACCATGTAGTCCAGCTTACCCTAGTTTAAGTAACATGTAGTCGTAGCTATATTTCTCCCATTTGTAGGCCCTTATCTAAACATGAGTCCTATAACCAAAACTACTGTGGCTGTTATCCAGTTTGTTTTATAAGTAAATAAGGTGAAAAATTCATCGATGTTTAACTTCCTCTGGAAAGCAAGCACATAAATTCACAGCTATCACACACTAACTGTATGTTTTTGGGGTTACTTTAATAATAGCACCTGCTGTAAAAAAATTACACTGGGAGAAATCTTCTCCCAACCCTTTAACCGTCTCTTTGGGTCCACCCCACCAGTTTTTGACGGGTTCAGATCCACTCTAAATATTAATGGTATCATACAGTGGCTGGTGTTGCTGATAGGCCTGTTCTATTTAGTATTTAGAGAGAAGGGAAGATTAACCTGGATTATCACCCTGACACCTACCCCAGAACCTGACACAGCACCAGAGCCTAGGGATGCTGCTGCCCCAGAGCCTGACCCTGCCCCACAGCCCACCTCAGATATGAACTACCCAGATTGGGTAGGGAGTCTGGTGAAAGAGATGCGTGAGATGAGCCAAATGCTAAAAAAATACACTTCCCCAGCTGGTGAGAAGCCCTCCCCCTGCCTCGAAAAGAGAGAGTCTAATAGTGCAGCAGTAGAACCCACAGATGTTACAACTGTCCAAGTTCCAGCTGAACTGCAAAGGCAGTCACAGCCAGCAGCAGTTGCCCCTGTAGAAACAAAGAAATCTAAGATGAAACCAAAGCACACAGATAGAGGAGGGCCCTCACAACCCACAGGGGAGCCAGAGGTTACAATCATCACCAAGTCCCTGACGTACAAAAGTCTCCGTAATCTGCAAAAGACATTGTACAACAGGGACGTGAGACTTATACAACCTGGCTACTTTGGGTCTGGGATTGTATGAGTACAGGCATCCAGCTGGATAGTAGTGAAGCAAAGAATCTGAAACCCTTAACCCAGGACTCAAGTATAAATCAGATTTTTGTAAGAGAGCCAGAGTCCCTTTCCCTCTGGAAGCGGCTTTTAATAAGTGTCAGAGAGAGGTTTGTCCACAGGGAGAGAATGCAAGAGCACCACCATAGAATGCGCTAGAAGACTCTTGAAGAAGAGATCCAACAGTTGAAAGAAGTGGCAGTATTGAAAGTACTCTATAGGAAAAATAGCATGATAATGACCCTGACAAAGTCAGGTGCACAAGGCAAATGTTGTAAAATCTAGCAAATCTAAAGCCATCTCAATACACCACCTTCATTGCAACAATTAATGCTGATACCAACTGAAAGACAGTGAGTTCTGTTACCAACAAGCTTAGAAATTATGAGAGTATGATCAATGGCCCAACGCAGGCTCATGTCTCTGCCGTGGTCCAAGAACTCAAAGAAGAGATGAGAGAGATGAGAGAAGAAGTGAAAAAGAACAATTCCCACATCACACCAGTGCAAGTCACAGGCCCCAAAGTAAGAGCCCAACATCCCCTAGCTAAAGAGAGAAAGTACACCCCACGGGCTGACCTATGGTTCTTTCTACGTAACCATAGAAAAAACATAGGAAGGTGGGATGAGAAACCCACTTCTGTCCTAGCAGTGTGAATGCATCAACTTAAAAAAAAAACACTAACCGAGAAAACTCCAATTAAGTGAAAGTGGCCTCAAACTCCCATAACTGAGCTGCTGAATATAATCTGTCAGATCCCCTTGAAAGTACCTCTACCATGTATGCCCAAGAAAGAAATAATAACCAAGGTTAGAGAAGCCCTGCCTCTAGCCAGGGAGAGGCATGGGAAAACCGGATCTTCTGGACAGCGTGGATCTGATGGCCTGGCACATCAGAACCACAAAAATACAATGTCTTAGTTGATAGTGGTCCGCAGTGTACCCTGATACCATCGGGACATGTGGGGGCGGAACCTGTTTCCATTGCCGGAGTAACAGGGGGATCACAGCAATTGACCCTGTTAGAAGCCGAGGTTAGCCTGACTGAGAAAGAGTA